TTTTTATACATCTTGGACAAACGTTATCAGGGCATATGCTAGATTTGCTGCATTTTCCTGGAGGCGTCCCTCCCTGCCGGAGCCCGCAGTCCATGTGCTCCCTTCTGGAACTGCGGCTCAGCCCCACCCCTCCCCCGAATGGGAGGCTCTCCCCTGGTGTGGCATCTCATGTTTCCTGAACCAGTGGGTTCTTCCTTGAGTTTTCTCTCCCATAGTGGAGCACCTTTTCCAGGAGTTTTTGAGAAAGTGTCCCTAAGAGTGGAGGTAGATCATGCACAATGTGTTTATTCCATCACCACACTGGACCCAGAATTTACCTGGGATTAGAAGTTTCTAGGTTGGAAGCTACTATTCCTCAGACAATTTCAGGCCTTGCTCCGCTGATGCCAAGCCTCTCGTGCTGCTATTGAGAAGCTCAGAGGCTTGCTCATCTCTGGTTCTTTGAACGTGGCTGTTTTTTCCCTTCTGGAAGCTTGTGGGCTCTTCTCTCAGTCCCGATGTGTCTTTCTCCTCCTCCTCCTGTAGCCCCGTCGGCTACAGATTGTGGGCGTTTCTTCTATCATATGGTTATTTTTAAAACATCTTTTTTTAATGTTTGTTTATTGGAGGGGGGGTGGTAAGAGGCAGAGAGAGAGAGAGAGAGAGAGGGAGACACAGAATCCGAAGAGGCTCCAGGCTCTGAGCTGTCAGCACAGAGCCCGATGTGGGACTCGAACCCACAAACTATAAGGTCATGACCTGAGCCGAAGTTAGATGCTTACCTGACTGAGCCACCCAGGCGCCCCAGTGTTTTATTTTGAGAGAGAGAACACATGCACATGTGAGTGGAAGAAGGGCAGAGAGAGAGAGAGAGAGAGAGAGAGACGGAATCCCAGTCCATGCTGAGCTTGGAGCCTGACGTGGGGCTTGATCTCACAAATCATGAGATCGTGACCCGAACCAATGTCAGGAGTCAGATGCTTAACCGACTGAGCCACCCAGGCACCTCTGAGCATATGACTCTTGATCTCAGGGTTGTGAGTTCAAGAACCATGTTGAATATAGAATTTACTAAAAATGTACACACACACACACACACACACACTAGTATCCATGAGTGTGTTTCCCTGAGACCAGGGAATCACCCTTTATCTTGTATAGTGAGGCTGGTGATGCCCACTTTCTATGACTGGCGGACACGGGGGAAAAAGAAGCTGACTAGAGTTACCTCCAGTTAGGATATAAACTTTCACCTCTTCAGTCGGCCAACCCTTCTGCTATGTCTGGGGCCCCCTGATTCTGAGCCCCACTGATTCAGCCTCACCTGTGGGGGTGCTGTTGCCCTGCTGCAAGGTGGGAAGTGGGAGCTTGGGGGTTCAACTACTCCTGCTGCAGACTTGGACTCATTCCCCCTGTGTTCAGCCCCCGCCTCACCCCTGTCTCCTGCAGACCCGTCCCTCTGAGTCTGAGCCTTGTCTGGGCAAGCCTTGCTTCCGGTTCCAATCCCCCTACCCCTGCCCCCGGGGCCCGCACTGTGACTCTGTCCCGTCCCTCCCTTCCTCTCCCCACCTTGCAGCTTCCTGACTGCATGGGCATCTCATCCACTCTTTTTCCCTTTCCGTTCTCTTGGCTCTTGGAGGTTTATTCCTTTTACGTTTGGACGTGGATTCCGGTTGGGGCCCGTGACGATCGACCGTGTTGAACCCGAGTCTGCGAAGGGTGTTAGTAACAGGAGGCAGAACTTACATTCCAGTGTCGGGGGCAAAGGGCAGCAGACAGCATGACGGATCTGCTGGGTAGATGGGGGGGGGGGGGCGGGAAGAAGGGGTAAACTCACCAATTTGAAAATCAGTCTGGGGAAGCTCCTGGGCGGTTTTCATTTTCTGCACATGCTGCTCTGTATTTTCCACACTCTTCACAGTAGACACGGAATACTCACCACCGGGGTTGGTGGTGGAGCGTGGGAACCCAACACTATTAAAAACTGGTGACACAGACAAGGAGTGTTGGAGCTGACTGAAGCTTTCAGGCAGGAGAGCCTCGGGCCAGTGATCTGAAACCTGGCCCGTGCGGGCCCCTTTGGGCCCTGCTGGCTCCCTCGGGGCCCTGAGCCTCCGGCCTCTCTGCCTCCGTAGCCAGCAGCCCTTGCTGCACCTACACCCACGTCAGAGGCTGCAGGGACTCCAGAAAGACCTGGCAGGAGTCTTGCCTTCAAAGCTCTCCGTGTTTTCTTTTGCCCAGAGGTACCTGAAGAAGCAGGTCACGCCCCTCTTCAATCATTTCGAAAGAGTCACCAAAAACTGGACTGATCACCCGCAAGCCCTCATGGACCAGTGAGTGGACCGTTGAGAAGCCAAGAGCCTCTCTCCTTTCCTTATTTCTGGAGGCCATGGGCAGCCCAGCTACCCTGACCCGGGGAGTCCAGGGCAGGGCCCCGCAGTGTCCTCTGGAGGCCATCTCTTGGCCGACGCCACCAGGCGGGAGGAGGAGGCCTGCCCTGAGGTTCTGTGCAGCCTGGGAGCCCATCTGACCTCTTTGTACAAGGGACCCAACTGAAACTCTGAGGTCCCCTCAGGGTCTTGATCATTCAGATTCTCGGTGTTCAGATAGGGGCTGCAGCCTGTGCTGACTCCTCTAAGTCCCTGGGCTGCCCAAGGCACAAAGCCACTTAGGGGATCCAGTGAGCAGCCTCAGACAGAGCCCGGGCCCCGCCATCCTTCCCGGAGCTGTGTGTCGGCAGGGGGGTGTCTCTGCCCAAGTCTGGGCCGGGCGGCCCATGGGCATGCTGACAGAGTGTCACCCGTGGGGCAGGTACAGCGAGATTAACGCCGTCAGCACCGCCTGCTCCTACGGGGTTCCTGAGTGTGAGAAGCTGGCCTCGACTCTTTTCGCCGAGTGGAAGAAGAACCCCCAAAACAACCCGTGAGTGTATCCCCCGCTCCTCCCCTGACCTTCATCCGTCCCTAGAGCCCACAGCCGTGTCCTCGTCAGACCCTCGTCCCCCCGCCTCCCTGCCCTGACCCTCTCACCCCTCGCCAGGATCCACCCCAACCTGCGGTCCACCGTGTACTGCAATGCCATCGCCCAGGGCGGCGAGGAGGAGTGGAACTTCGTGTGGGAGCAGTTCCTAAAGGCTGAACTGGTGAACGAGGCTGACAAACTCCGCGGAGCCCTGGCCTGCAGCAACCAGGTCTGGATCCTGAACAGGTGAGGACCGGGGCCCGACGGGGCCGCGTGAGTTCCCCTCCCCACGGGGGACCCCACGTGGGAGAGCAAGAACCAGCCGGGACTCTCATTCATGGCATCCTCACAAACCTGTGCGGTGGGGCGGTGGGGCGGTGGGGCCCCCATGTCGCAGAGGAGGACACTGGGGCTCAGAGAAGCGAAAACAACTTGCCCAAAGTCCAGAAGCTTTAGTAAGTGGTGGAGCCAAGATCTGAACCCACGTCTGGGTCTCCGTCCCACACTTTTAACCGCTTTGGCTTCTTGGCCGGTAGTTGACAGAAGCTCAGTTTTCCTCTCTGCCGAGGGCTCTGTTGCAGCTGGGCCTGGGTCCTTTTGGATGTCCAGCGGGGCACGCCCCAAGCTCCTGGCTCCCACCGGCCACCTGTATGTCATCTCCCAGACCCCAGTAAAGAAGAGCCTCCCTCAGTGTCAAAGACAAAGGTGGCTGCCATGCCTGGGACAGGGCTCCCGGCCCTGGTAGTCCTTCCTGTCTTCATTCATTCATCATCAGTCATCACATATCCATCGGGCACCAGGTCCGTGTCAGGCAGGGCCAGTGACCCTGCCTGGGAAACTCAGTGTCCCACCTGTGAGAGGGAGGTAGGACGAAGAGGTCTTCAACCCTCAGTAGACTGAAGGGACATTAGGAGGATGCCGGAGAGGTGTCGGGGGCGGGGGAGGGGATCCTTTGCCTTCCTGGGTTCTCTGTCTCATATCATCTGACTACAGCCCTTGGAAGTGGTCACTAACCCAGCATCCTTCCCTCACAGGTTCCTGAGTTATACCCTGGACCCTAACTTCATCCGGAAACAAGATGTCACCAGCACTCTCAGCAGCATCTCCAGCAACGTCGTCGGGCAAACCCTGGCCTGGGACTTTGTCCAGAGCAACTGGAAGAAACTCTTTCAGGAGTGAGTCTGGGGGAGCCTGCTGGGAGAAGTGCCCGCCAAGGCTGGGGTGTCCGGGGGCGGAGGGAAGGGTCCGTGTGTCTGTGTGCATGGGACACCGCAGGGCTGGAGCGTGGTGGGGGGCTGTGGACACCGCCTAGGAGTGCTGAAAAATTAACCCAGCTTGCGGTCAGACGCGGGGGAGGGCGGGGAGGGCCAACATGGAAAGACAACGCAGGATATGGGCTGTCCTTTCTCCCACTTGGGGCAAAGAAAGTCTGTTTCTCTGGAGACAGGGGAGCAAGGATACTGAGATCAAACCTGCGGTCGTGTCCCTCGGGGTATCACCTTGGGTGTGTCATTTCATCTCACCTCCAAGATGGGGACAGTCGCAGAGCAGACGTGAGGGTATAATGGCACCTGCCAGTCACGGAGCATTGCTTCTTCTGCCCCTCACGATGTCTTCTCTCTCCTGTCCCCACAGCTATGGCACTGGTTCCTTCTCCTTCTCCAACCTCATCCAGGCGGTGACCCGACGATTCTCCACTGAGTTCGAGCTGCAGCAGGTAAGAAGCCCGGGACCCTGGGGCGGCATCCAGAGGTCCATCGCGAGTCTAAAAGGACCATCATTCAGCCGGCGCCCCCTGGGTGTGGTCAAGGAGAGCCCGGGCTCCACGTTGCCAGGCCTTCCTCACCTGCAGGGGAAGCTGGGTATTCAGGCTTTTTATTTATTTATTTATTTATTTATTTATTTATTTATTTATTTTTTTAAATTAATTTCTCTCTATATTAAATCAATATTTATCATTTATTTAACTATTAAATAAATATGTAGTTAGCTAACACACAGTGTAGTATTGGTTTCAGGAGTAGAACCCAGTATCCAGGCTTTTTAAATGGTGACGATTCAATCAGAAAACTTCATCTTGGAACTTTCATATAGGCAAAAAGTAAAGATGATAATATAAATGAACCTCCACGTACCTACCCATTACCCAGATTGAACAGTTATCAGCGTTTTGCCGGTTCTGTTTTGGGGGTGGAGAATTTTCAAGCAGGGATCACTAATATCATACAGTTCACCTGTCTATGATTTAGTCCTATTTAAAGGAATTTTTAAAAGATAATCTCAATGTTATTAGCAAAGCCAAGAAAAGGAACAATTCTTTACGTGTCATATTCTGCCTGGCCCATTTTTGTTTGTTTGTTTTGTTTTTATTTTTGAGGGAGAGAGAGAGCAGGGGAGGGGCAGAGAGAGGGGGAGACAGAGGATCTGCAGAGGGCCCTGTGCTGACAGCAGAGAGCCCGAGGTGGGGCTTGAACTCACGAACCGTGAGGCTGAAGTTGGATGTTCAGCCGACTGAGCCACCCATGTGTCCCTCTATCTGGCCCATTTTAAACCTTCGAGGTTGTTTCTTTTAAAACTCATTTTGCAGTGATATGCGTGTTTGAATCAGAAGCTAAAGTTAACTCATTGTATTAGGTTGATATTATCTATTTTTTTAATTGAGATATAATTAATGTACTATAAAACTCGCCATGTTAAGTGGCTTTCAGGATATTTACAAGCTTGTAGAACCATAACCACCATCTACTTCCAGAACATTCTCATTACCCCCCAAAAGAAACTGTGGCAGTCGCTCCCCAGTCCTCTGTTGTCAGCCCCTGGCAAACACTAATCTACTTTCCGTCTCTATGGATGTGCATATTCTGGATATTTCATGAAATGGAATCATATAATATGAGGGCTTTTGTGGAAGTTTCATCCATGTGGTAGGGTCCCACTCCTTTTTATGGCTGAATAATATTCCATTGTATGGGTGTAACACATCTGTTTATCCGTTGATCAGTCGATCGACATTGGATTGTTTCCACTTTTTGACTATTATGAATAACGCTGTTATGAATGTTCATGTACAAAGTTTTGAGTGAACATATGTGTTTGGTTCTTTTGGGTATACACCTGGGAGGGGAATTGATGGATCATTTGGTAACTTTATGTTTAACTCTTTGAGAAATTGCCAAAATGTTTTCCAAAGTAATTGCACCAATGTACTTTCCACGGCTCTATGTCTTTGGACACTTACGTTTCTTTTCTTCCTTCGTTCCTTTGTTCCTTCAGTCCTCCCTCCCTCCCTCCCTCTGCTTCCTTCCTTCCTTCCTTCCTTCCTTCCTTCCTTCCTTCCTTCCTTCCTTTTAAATTATAGCCATTCTGTGGATGTGAGATAGTATGAATTGCATTTCTCTAATGACTAATGATGTTGCACATCTTTTCATGTGCTTATTGGCCATTCATATGTCTTCTTTGGAGGAATGTTCAAATCCTTTGCCCATTTTTTAATTGGGATATTTGTCTCTTCATTTTTGAGTTGTAAGAGTTCTTTATATATTCTGGATACTAGACCCTTATTAGATACCTGATCTGCAAATGTTTTCTTCCATTCTGTGGATTGCCTTTTTACTTTCTCAATAGTGTTTTTCCATACCTTAACATTTTTTTTTTATTTTGATGAAGTCCAGCTTTCTAATTTTTCTTTTATGGCTTGTGTTTAGGCATATCTAAGAAACGATCACTTAATCCAAGGTCATGAAGATTTATACCTGCTTTTTACTAAAAGTCTTACTATTTGAGCTCTTACATTTAGGACTTTGATCAATTTTGGCTGAATTTTTGTATATGGTGTGAGATGGGGGTCCAACTTCATTCCTTTGCATGTGGCTGTCCGATTGTCTCACTACTATTTGTTGAGCAGACTATTCTTTCCCCCACTGAATGGTCTTGGCACTCTTGTTGAAAATCAATTGACTGTAAATGCGAGGGCTTATTTCTGGACTCTTAATTGTATTTCATTGATCTATCTGTCTGTCCTTCAGCCAATACCACACTGTCTTGATTACTGTAGCTTTGTAGTGAGTTTAGGAATGTCAGCCCTCCAGCTTTGTTCAAGATTGTTTGGCTATTCTGAGTCCCTTGCATTTCCTTATGAATTTTAGTATCAGCTTGTCCATTTCTGCAAAAAAAGGCAGTTGGAATTTTGATGTGGATTGCGTTGAATCTGTAGATCAATTTAGGAACCGTTCCCATGTTAATAATATTAAATCTTCCACTCCATTAACACGGATTTGGGTCGATTTGGGTATCGTTTCCTTTTATTCAGTTCTTCTTAATTTCTTCCAACAGTGTTTTGTAGTTTTCAGCATTACCAGTCTTGTATGTCTTTTGTCAAATTTATTCCTCAGTCTTTTATTCTTCTTAATGCTATTGTAAATGGGACTGTTTTAATTTCATTTTCGTATGTCTCATTGCTAGTGTGTAGAAATGTAGTATGATCTTGTATGTTGCTCATCTGAAACCTTGCAGAATTTGTTAGTTTTAATAGTTTTTTGGGGTTTTTTTGTTTTTGGTAGATTCCTTAGGATTTTTCTGAATACAAAAATCATGTCATCTGCTTATAGAGATAGTTTTACCTCTTCCTTTCTGGGTGCCTTTTATTTCATTTTCTTGCCTAATTGCCCCGGCTGCAACCTCCTGTACTAATATATCTTTTCATCTGTGACTTATTTATTTATTTATTATTTTATTATTTATTTTATTATTATTAAAAAATTTTTTAATGTTTATTCACTTTTTGAGAGACAGAGAGAGACAGAGCATGAGTGGGAGAGGGGGCAGAGAGAAAGGGAGACCCCAAATCTGAAGCAGGCTCCAGGCTCTGAGCTGTCAGCACAGAGTCCGCCGTGGGGCTCGAACTCACGGACCATGAAATCATGACCTGAGCCAAAGTCGGGGGCTTAACTGACTGAGCCACCCAGGAGCCCCGAGGCTGTGCTTATTTTCACCTCTGCCCTAGATAAGGACTTTATCCCAGGGACAGAGAAGGGCCAGCCCTTTCTCTCCTGGAGAACAGGCCGTGGCTTCTCCATTTGCAAGGGCCCTAATGTGGACAGGGAGGACAGAGGACTAGGCCGCCCTCCCCTCATGCTGTGTTAGAGACCCAGCCTGAGGCTGAGAATCTTCATTTCCTTGGCAGCTCGAGCAGTTCAAGAAGAACAACATGGACACAGGCTTCGGCTCAGCCACCCGAGCTCTGGAGCAAGCCCTGGAGAAGACCAAAGCCAACATCAAGTGGGTGAAGGAAAACAAGGATGTGGTGCTCAGGTGGTTCACAGAAAACAGCTAATGGTCCTTGGTCCTTGCAGTCACCTGGCCCCCATGTGAGATGCCTATTCTGTGTCTGTCCCAGTGGCCCACGGCAGGACCCCTTCCTGGAGCCTGAGGCAATGGTGTCCTCACCCCAGGACAAAGTCTCTGGCCCATGTTTTCTCCACTCTGCCCATGGGGCCAATCCAGTTCCTGATGGCCAGACTGCCCCAACACCTCTCAGTCCCTGCCCCTCCTGCCAACTCCACCCCAGGCCTGGCATGGTGTCTGTCACCCAGGGCCCTGGGGCTGATCTCAGGGAAGCCCAGCGCTGGGGTCAGATGAGCAGAAGCCCTTGATGGACGATGGATGGCCTTAGGGGGCGGCCCTGTGCCCTCTCTCACCTTCCCGTAAATTTCCTGAACCTGAGGAATCAACAGGGCACCAGATCTATATATTTTTTTTCTAAGAGAAAATGTAAATAAAGGATTTCTAGATCAATGCCTAGACTTGTTACTACACTAGAGTGGGAGTGAGTAGGTTTGCACAAGAGCCAGGAAGCCTGGGAGGGACGGAGGGACCCCGGGGTGTAGGGGACCCCCACGGAGCACAGGAGGGGAGAAGTGCCCAGCCTGCTGGCCCTTCCTACAGAACACCTGGGTGTGCTGTGGGGTCGGCCTGTGGTGTTCATTTCATCCAAATTCCCGTGGCAGGCAGGAGATGCCGGGTGCCGGAAACCATGAGGAGGTGGATGCTATAGCAGACCCAGCGGTTCTCGTGATGGAGTGCAGGGAGCTGGGGCTTGGTGCCAGGTGCAGAGCAGGTCCTGACAGTGGAGGGAGTCTTTTTCAGAAAGCAGAAGTTTCTGTAGTTCCAGACACTACGATCCGCACCTGCCCTACCGCGAGGTTAAGGGAGCAGGATGCTGACTGGGCTTCTCTTCTTGCATGCAGCCACCATCCCGGGGACACCTGGGACAGTGAAGGGGGCTTGCAGTGAGGACGGCGAGCCCTGGGACCCAGGCCTGGTCTGAGCACCCACTGGCCAAGGGCATGTCCCGCCCCCTCCCCAGGATTCGTGGTGGAAGGTGATCTCAATTTGTAAGGTGGTTGTTTTCAAAAGCAGTGTGCGGAAAAAGACAGGCGCCCCTCCAGATCACCTGGGGCAGCCCGAGGTCAGAGCCTAACCCAGAGGAGGTCTGGGACCCACGCGGCTCCACGGCTCACAATGGCCTTGGTGGAAGTTTCTTAGCAAATGGAGCCAGGTTTTGGGAAACTCATCTCAGCCTCAGCCCCAGCCCCACAGGACCCAGTGGAGCATCACAGTCTGGTGGAAAGAAAGAGGAAGGTAATAGGCCACAGGGCTCTTTGGGGGTTTCTTCCAAGTGAGCCACTGGGGCTGGAGTCTGGGAGACCAGGGGGCCTGGTTTCAGATCACAGCTCGGGCTCCAGTTTTCGCACCTACACCTAAAGGCAGCGGATCCCAGGGTCGGGGTGTGCATCTAAGGAGATTCATGTATGTGGGGCATTGCCTGACACAGGAGGAGATTTGGGTATTGTCATCCTTAGCCCCGTCTCCTGGCCTGCCCTCTTCCCTCACAGCCTCTATTCCCCCTTGGGAGCAGTGGGGGTGGGGTCTGGGACCGAAGGCTCCCCAGCCGGCCCCTGCAGTCCCTACATCAAAGGTGGGGCGGCTGGAGGGGTGAGGCCTGCCCAGGTTATGGGGTGGGGTCTCTCCACCAATCGGGAGGCTTCCCTCAGCCCAGCCCCTGTGGGCCAGTCCTTCCTGTCGCCAGTGCCCAGCAGCCCTGGCTGGCACTTAACCTTCTGGGGATCAGAGGGCAGGCCCCCTCAGGAGGTCCCGCTGGGGGAGGGCCCAGCCTCACGGGGTCCCTGGGAGAGAACTGGCCTCCTGGGAGAAGAGTCAGCAGGGATCCTAGCCTCTGCGCCTGGCACTGGGCAAAGTGTTTATGCGCATTATCTCATTTGGGCCTCAACAGTCCCAGGAGATAAGGATTGTTTTTGTCTCAGTTTTGCAGATAAGGAAACTGAGGCTCAGGGAGGTTAAGTCAGTAGAGCTAGAAGGAGATGCGGGCTGTAAAGCCTGTGCAGAAGGGAAGCCATCTGTGGCAGGGTCCGTGGCATCCCCACGTTACGTGCTCCCACCACCTCACGGCGTACGAGGCTGGCATTCAGAACGCCCTCAGTGGCTGCAGAAAATCAGTTCCTCGGGAACGCCATCAGGGCTCACACAGCCAGACACCTGCCTGCAGAACCCTGCACAAGGTCGCACACAGAGCAGGGGCCGACTAGAACTCAGGCTGTCCTTGCCTGCGGGGCACCCTGCGGTGGGGCCAGCAGGGAAGGCGGCCCCTGGGGAGGGGCAAGAAGCAGCGGGGTGGGGGGGTATGTCTCCCACCTCCCCCCACCCAAGAGGCTCTTCAGGAGGCATGTCCCCTACAGGCATTGAAAGAATGTCCAGTCTCTTGACTCCAGTCGCAGTCAGGAGCAGCAAGCCCAGGGTGGAGCCAGGGGCTACTGCTCCTGAGAGGCAGGCCTGAGCCTTCCCTCGAAGAGGCTGAGGACAGGGGTGGGAAGGTCGCTGAAGCCCCCTGGGCCCTGCCCCTGGGTCCAGCCGCATCTCAGCAACACTAGCTGGTGGCCTTTCGCCTCTGCGTTTGCATCTCCTGGAAGAGGTACCTCTTGCAGTGAGCTAGGAACAGGCTACCAAATTCCAGAAGATGCCCAGCTCTGGCTGCTGCTGGAGAAAGCCAGTACTCTCTCGGGCTCAGGCTTTGGAGCTGGAGGAGCATGGCCATCAGTGACCGGACCAGGGCATATCTCTCTCTGTCCCTATAAGGACTAACCCCAGATCTGTGGGAGCCAAAGGAAAGAGGGCAGCTCTTTAGCTCTGCTTTTGGTGAAGTTGCTGCGAGACTGTGGAACCAAGACCTCGGGCCTTCTAGGGAAGGAGAGAGCACCGAACAGGGAGTCAGGGGCCTGACATCCCTACCTAGCTGGGGTGCTAGGGAAAGTTGCTCCTCTACCCAGGCTGGTTTCCCCAGCTATAAAATGAAAGGGTGAAGAATAACCATCGAACCCAAACCTGGTTGAGCCCCCAGAATCCCTGGGAAGGACATTCTTAAAGCCCCGGGTTCCTAAGCCCCAGCTCAAGGCACTGGATCATGCCCTCAGGGTGGGACCCTAGGACCAGATGCCTCAACACGCAGTCAGGTTAGGGAACCGCTGGACTGCGTCGTCTCTCAGGCCATTCAGCAATTACTACGTGCCAAGCCTAAGGACCCTAAGGAATAGATAGGGTCTATCATGGTCTCCTTTTCACAGCTGAGAAAATTGAGGCTCAGGGAGGTTTCTTAGTTTGCCCACAGCCATACAGTGGGTAAGAGCTGAATGAAATGTGCACCCAGGTCAGCAGCGCCCTGTATCCGTCTCCTAGCTGTTCATGACCTCGTGAGAGGTTTTCTCATCCTTCCAGGTGTGGCTGGCAGCCCCCTAAGGACACAAGACCCCAGGGTAAGAACCAGAACCCTAGAAGGTTAGGGGAAGGAGCCACCTCAGTGGTCGCCTAAACCCATTCCCCTTTTAGGAGACGGGGAAACTGAGGCACAGAGAGGGAGTGACTTGTCTGACGTCATCAGGCACATGGGCAGGTCATGGGTCACCGTGCAGGGTGAGATGAGTGGCCCTGCATGTGGCTGAGAGCTTGAGCAATTTGTGCTCTGGTCTTCCACCCTCCCCTGCTCTTGCCCTGCACTGTTAACAGCAGCCTCCCTGCCCGGCTCCATTTCTGCCAAGCACCCAAAGGGACCAGATGTGCCTGTGACAGACTCATCTCCCTTTCCCTACCTTCAATGCCTCCCCATTAGCCAGGAAAGAGGCCATATGGGGGAGGGGTCCCCACAACCTGGTCTCTGAGCCCCTTTTCCAATTCTCATCTTCACCTTTCTCTGTCAGCTCTGGACTCAGTTTCTTCTGCCTAGGTCACTCTCCACTCACTCCTCTTGGCGAACTCCTGCACATCCTTCAAAACCCCCCCCAACATCCTGCAATTCTCCTCCACCCGGGTCAGCAGATACAGAATGACGTCACCACAGCTGCTGGCTCCCCAGCCCATGGCGGCTTTTGCTAATGGATCACAGGTGGCATCCTTTCCTCAAGATTCTTTACTCAAGGCAGCATAAATCAACGCAGCGGCATTAACCAATCGGGTAACTCAAGAAAGAAACTGTCGTCAGCCCCATCTCCCACCAGGCTGTCACATCCCCTCTGGTCCCTAAGCTCCTTATTATATAAACTCCCATCCTTGACCTGGTCTTTGACCGCTTACTTGCCTGTAATTCGCCTTGTTAGTTGAGGAATGTTTTCTCCCTGGCATCTAACATCGGCTATTATGGGCTGAACTGAGTTCTAACCCCCAGGACCTCAGAACAGGAATGCATTCAGAGCGAGCGCCTATAAAGAGGTAATTAAGGTAAAATAAGGTCATATAGGTGGGCCCTAACCCTGTATGACTGGTGTCCTTACAGGAAGAGACCGACAGACACATAGGCCGCAGGGTAATTATGTGAGGACACAGTGAGAAGGTGGCCATATGCAATCCAAAGAGAGGCTTCAGAAGAAACCAAACCTGCTGACACTGACCTTGGACTTCTAGCCTCCTGAACTGTGAGAAAAGATACTGTTGTTTAAGCCACCTGATTGGTGATCTTTTCTTAGGGCAACCCCAGACACACTGGGCCTCGCTGGTGGGAGCTAACCATCATGCAGCCTTTAATTCTTTTTTAATGTTTATTTATTTTTGACAGAGAGAGAGAGCACGAGCAGGGGGGAGACAGAGAGAGAGGGAGACACAGAATCGGAAGCAGGCTCCGGGCTCCGAGCTGTCAGCAGAGCCCGACGCGGGGCTGGAACTCACGAGCCGTGAGATCATGACCTGA